AAGTGTTGGTTCACACTGAGGATCTCGACAACTGTTAACTGATGGGATGCTTCAGCGTTTCCACACTGGAGACAAGAGAAAGGCCTCTTCCTAAAATCTCCATAAATCTGTCCTCGGATTTCAGCCTTTCCAGCGCTACTTCACAGCAAAATTCTCAAATGAAGGTCTGAGGAGAGATTTAGATGAGAGCCGCTGGCTTGGATCAGCTGGCTTCCTCCACTTCTACTGGTGATTTCACATCAGTGGAAAAATGATTCATAAATCCATAAGTGGCAACAAATCCCTTCAGTGAGCCTCAGCATCCCGGCTGATCTGCTGTAATGGCACTGTCAACATGCGGCAGCGAGCGCTGGGACGCTGCCATGTCCGATAGGATCGCTGCAGAGAGAGAGAGAGAGAGAGAGAGCGCACAGGCCGGCTGCTCCAAGCCGATCCTGAGAGAGTTTTTGGCTGCTCCTGTTCTACCGCTATAGAGCCGGCCAGAGATAAATCCAGACCGAAGAGACAGTTTTAGCAGTTGCAAATCTTCCCTTTGTGCCTGTTTGTTGGATATTTCATGTCTTTGTTGAGAGTTGAAACAAACAAACAATCAAAGAAGTACTGGAAAGATATCATGAGAAGTCGTTCCCCTTCCTTAAATCAGTGCTGCCTATGATCTGAGAAAACTGCACCAATGTTTGAATCCGAAATCGCCCCGTAGACCCTTGTTGAGTGAGCAAATCAGGACAGCCATTGAGCCTACATCAGTTGTCCACTCATGTGGGATGGAATGAGTGCACTCAACAACATCCACTGTGTTTTCGGACTCCACTACAAATGGCTGTTCCCTCGAATAACGCCCTATTTGAGAGTCTAGGGGCAATTTCAGATGCAGCCAAAATCTCAGAATCTCAAAACCAATACCAAATCATCCACGCTCCTGCTAAATCACTTGATGAAGACCGCACTTCTGTCTTGAATAGGTATGTGTTGTTGTTGTTGATTTACTTCTGATATTTACTAGTACTAGCTAGTCTGATGAAAATGTCCAGCTATTGTCCAGCTAAAGTTAGTTATTAATGTAGGGGCCGCTTACACAACACCGTTCTAACAGAAGACAGAAAACTTTAAATGCATTCTGGATGTCCCTAAAAGCACCTCAAGTCCTCACAGTAGAGTTCTGTGTGGTTTTGGTAGATTATGTACCACTTCCGCCAAAAATACGTTTGATTTTCTCCCGCCCCCACGCACAAAAGCCGTAGGAAGAGGTCTACGCTGAGTCTTCAGTCCCGGTCCGGTTAGACTCTGTCTCGTTCCAGTGTCTATAGGCTATTTTTCACAATTTCCACGCACATGAAGCTCCAGATCTTCAGTTACAGACTTCTGCGTGCAAATATATTTTGCAGGAGATACAATATTTTTGTTTTTGTTTTGATTTAGTTTTTAGACACTCAGAGATCTAGAATCAGCATGTGAATCTCAACAATGGTGACAATAATAACACATGTTCCAGTGCATTCTGGGTGCCACCAATCAAAACTCATTCATGGATCCCATCATGCATTGCTGCATGAATAAATATTGAGCTTATGATCAGAGGTGATCTGTTTGTCACCATTGCTGAGATTCATATGCTAATTCTTGATGTCTGTGTGTGCCTACAAAAAATAATGTCATAAGTTATCTTATTGTTTTGATCATTTGGTTTCATTGAAAATGCTGAACATATTATGCTGTACAAGGCCAGAGCTGCTATAATTAATAAAGTAAGGCTGTGTTTACACGGAAGAGAAAGAGAAAACGCAAAAGGTTAACATTTAATGATTCAACGGTTTAAATGGTTAACATTTAATGAAGTCTTTTAAGTAATTCATTTGGATAATCATACTCAATTCTAATTTGTTCAATTTAATTAATAATATTGATTGTAACCTGTTGCCTTAATTTTATTGATTAGATTTAACATATTCAGTCATTTTTACAGTGTAGTGGCCCCAAAGAAGCATCCTTTTGAACCGTAAAATGACTAGATTGACACTCCACCTCAACACACGCAAAATTTGAAGCATCATTAATGTCACGGCTAGTCACGACTGAAGCATTGTTGTATGTTTAGCTGTTAGCATGTTTGATTCTGTCCTGTTGTTGCCCACTATCTGTTGCTTTGAACAGACTGTTCTCTTTTCCTTGGCGCTGTGAGGCTGGCAGGGCAGACCTCTACCTCACACACCTAGCAGTGCGGTTTACAAGAGTCCACAGAGTGCCACAAACAGCCCTGGAGCCGGCCCAGAATCAGGCCTTTAACATCCCGTCCCTACCAGTGTTGGTTTCTCAAGTCCTGCTCTCTCTGCGTGCTTAAGTGTAACCACATGTTATGCCATGGACGTAATCTTTTCCACTGAAGGGAGTTGGGCTGTGGGTGAGGAGAGGAGACAGGCTTCTCTCTGCCATCTACAGCGGGCACGATTCAAAGGTCAGAGAGCCGCTCTACATGCGTGCACTGGGAATACCTTTCAGCCCCTGGAAGCAGCTTTAAATGTCTTTATTTGATTCTGTGACATCATCGGCTCTTCCATTTGTTTCTGGTTTTGATGTATCTACCCAAACATGCCATTAATCAGACCTTCTGAGTCATGCAACTCACATTAGCTGACAGGCACTGGGTTCTGAGAAATGAGAGAGTGCAAGGATGGGCAGATATTACCTCTGGCCGTTTCAAGAGCCGAGGACACAGGACAGAAGCTCTGCCTTCGCACATGTGAAGACTAACTTCTTGTGTCATCTTTTCCTTTTCCTTAAATTTCAGACAAATGCTGTTCTTTTGAACTTTCTTTTCATTAAATAATCCTGAAATAAAAAGGTAAATAACTGTTTTCAACACTGATAATAATGAGAAATGTTTCTTGATCATCAGATCCTCATATTAGAGTGATTTCTGAAATCGCTGTAGTAATGTAGAGTAATGATCGCTGGAATAAATGACTGGTCAATATGTGCTTGTTTTTGGACTGATGGACAGAATGGGAAGAAGAAGAAAAAGACCTGAAACATATGAATGGGCGTTGTTGAGCGCCGTGAAGAACATGTTTTGTCCTAGATTATTCTCAGACATGAATGGGATGGGTGACGGTAGTGCGGAGAGAACCTTCATCCATCAGGAGTGGTGTGATCAACATGCATCACTATCGTAGAATCCATTACTATTGTGTTGGTAGCGCTTATGCAAATGCTTTGTTGTTTTAAACACAATGGATATGTTGTGTATGGTGTGAGAAATGTATAAGTGTGTGAGGACTGAAACACACGGCTGCCGCTCCTGCTTCGGCCTGTCGAGAGAGAGAGAGAGTGATTGAAAGTGTGCCAAGTATAAGCAGAGTGAGAGACAGGTTCTCGGTTATGAGGAATTCTGCCTCAACACACATCCATCATCACGTCTCCATGGCGACCGCAATGTTTTCTTTAATAATAGCAAAAGCTGAACACTGAGTTTATCTTCACACAGCCGTCCTTACAGACAGCTGTCAGGTATAAGTGCCACAAACGCATACCTGCGCCATTCCACACGTTACAGTTACTAAAGGAAACATGTATCTGATGCACAGTTTATCACTCCCACATAAAGCCTTTAGGGCGCGAGAAAAGAATGCATGAGAGAACAATTCAGTCTTTCCAAAAACATATTTCACATCCTCTGAGCATGTTTTGGTTGAATGTTAGCGGTTACGTCTTCAGCGTATCTGCGAGTTTGGATGGGTCTTACAGAGACAGTGGTGGTCTTACAGAGCCGGCAGCGCACAACAGCCTCAGGCTTTCCTCTGAGCAGAGATACAAGTGCATCAGGATACACACTGGGTCAAGGCCTGGGGAAATATAGGACAGAACACAAGCTGCCTTCATTTTACCCTGCATTTTTACTATAGTACTAGCTTTTATTTTACATAAAATCATGTTTACAATTAAACATACGATTTTTTTCTTTTTTAAAGGAGTAGTTCACTTTTGAAAAAAACGTTTGCTGATAATTTACTCACCCCCATGTCATCCAAGATGTCCATGTCTTTCTTTCTTCAGTCGAAAAGAAATTAAGTCGAAAAGGATTTTTCTCCATATAATGGTTCAAAAGACAGTTTCAGTGCAAACTGATTAAAGGGCTTTAAACGATTCCAGACGTTGAATAAGGGTCTTATCAAGCGAAACGATCGCTCACTTAATAAATAAATAACGAAGTTTAAGTTTATAAGCTCAAATGCTCGCCTTGCTCTGTTCTGTGATGGGCGTTCGTGACTCTCCTGTTCGAACTCGATCATCAAAATGAACTAATCTTTTCCCGAGTCAACTCGTTCATTTCGTTCGTGATTCGTGAATGAAACAAATGACACGAAAAACGTTTCTAAACACAAAATCTACCCGAACACTCGGTTGTTACATCTGACCCAGGAGCTGGGAAACACACAAATTACCCAAACACTGAACAAAAATAACCCAAAAAATGTACCCAACAGGCTCAATCCAGAATTTGTCTTCAAAAGAGTTTTTAGAGTGCTCTCTGAAAATGAGTGTTTTTCCCAGATGCAAACAATCTGTGCATTATCTAGCCTTTTGTGGCACGGATTGGCCAATGCTGGGTAATTCTGCATATTAAGGTGCTCATTAAAGTTGTAACTGATCCATGTGCCTTTAGCTCCAGTTCCTTCACGCTTTTGTTCGCGATGGGAAAGACACCATATCCCAGAGTCCACTCTGCCCTGTTGAACTGGTTCTTTGTCCCGGAGGAGTCCCGGGGGTTTCTCTCACAGTCTAACGGCCTCTAAAGCATCTGCCAGGTGTGGTCTGCAGGTGAAACCGCTCCATGGGAATCCAGCTATTACAATAGAAGTCAAGAGCACTGCTCCATATAACACCACTAGCTGAGTTTAGCAGACAAGCCTTTGTAGTCAATGCAGAAAACACAGGATACATGATTGCATGCTATGCTAATTTCCTATCAAATTTGGTAATCACTTTCTCTTATCTTTCTGCAGGTGGATGGCTAACCTGAGGAAAACGGCAGTCATATTTCATCTGTCAATCAGCACCCAAACAGACATCAGACTGAAAACCTTAAGAGATACATTAAAAATAATCCCAAGTGGCCATAAATTCCCCTATTTGTCTCTCAGACAGAATGTTTTCATTTCAAACTTAATGGACTCGATTTCAGGATGCTGTGATATTTATTTGTGATATTATTGTGGGAAATGTAAAGGATTTGCCTGTAACGGAGCTAGTAGTTGCTGCGCAAGTAAACCTCACTCCTCTGATCTCAAGAGGCTGCAGTCTTCTCGTGCCGGAGACCCGGGTTCGAGGCCCGCTCGGAGCGGGTCGAGTAGGACCCGGGTGGAGGGTTTACACTCCTCAGAGTTTAAAGTGTGGTGATGCAATGCTGCATAGGATATCGGCATCAACATACTCACCAAATCGTCTCATTCTCCTCTATCCGTTATGTCCTTCAAGTCACCCCCACAACAACATCGACAACAGAAGAGAAGGCATTCCTTTTCAAAACGGGGTGTTCATTTCATACTCTGGGAACAATGGTAGCTCATTTAATGTGTAAATTGATGTATTTGTCCATTTGACGTACCAGCACTTTCCAGAAGTTTATACTTTTAACGTAACAATCTGTTTGGTTGAAAGATCCTAAATGAAATTGATTGTAGCTCTACCTGAGGAATCGTTCACAGACAGCATACACAGTTGGTTAACTAATATAGATATTCATCACTGGCAAACAAAATGATGCATTTGCAGATCTGCTTTCATTTGACAGTAGGTCCACTTCATCCAATGAGGAAACTGAACCAATAAATTAGGCATTTCTTAACTTGTATTGCATTCAAATGAAGTAATGAGAGGAACGTTGCCCAGTGTAATGAAGTACAAGTATATTTATTTTGTTAGAAATGGACTCAAGCCCCTGGTTCTAAGCTACAGTTATGTATATATATATATTGTTGGTGTTTTGTGTTTTTCTTATGTTTCAAAAATGAAAGTCTTATCATTAAGGGCTTTCAAGGAAAATCAGTTATGACTGTCTTTGAACATTGTATATGTATGCCCGGTTGTACTGTAAAATTCATACTGTGGAAAAAAAATAACAATAAAGTATAAATGAAAAAAGAAATGGACTCAAGCATGAGTAAAAGTACCCTACTTTAAATGTACTCTTTACAGGAACACATTTTCCAAATATTGTAAAAGAATTTAGTAAATGTTACTCCCCACCTCTACTCTACAATCATTATTAGTTTGTGTTTTCTTTCCATATGTTTCAAATATGCTTAGTTTAACACCTTTAATGTAGAGTAATGAATGTACTGTAATTAAATCTGTAGAGTCAGTTAAAAGTACTTAATCACTGCCTATATCCAGTGTTCAACTGCGTGGGAGGGAACAAGTTGAACAGCATCAGCCCTTTTCTGTTGGATTGGGGCTCAGTCCTGATCCCGTAACCAGTCTGCCGCCTGCTTCAAACCTCACAGATCCCATTCTTTGCAGCGTGTCCAGGTTGTTCAGTTTCCAGTTGAATAGGAAAGTGTCCAGTGAGTTACTGTACTTAGATCATTGTGCAATGTACAAGGCTGTTTTTAGTCTGTTCTAGGACAGCCGATCTGGGGCCAGGCTGGGCAGAAACACTGGCCTTAGGAAGCCAAGACTGGGCAGAGATCTGGACAATAATTAATACGCTTGAATGTTCACACAAGTGTATTCTGCGGATCTTTTCCAAGAATACCAATTAGTTCCATTTTGAAAATGTACTTCAGGAAAAACCCTTATCCATCTGTGTCTTGTCTGATTACTTTCTGATTTCACAACAAACTGGGAATTATTGATGAAAAGATCTGCTTTGAATAAGAGCACAAAGCACTTCAAATGCACTTCCAGAGATGAACTGTCTCATGAAATGTGTAACAAATCACCACAGGGTTTATATACACATAAATATAGTTACTGATAAAGCACAAAGTCATAGTGACAGGCTATTCCTTTCACCACTGCACTGTCTGTCACTCAGCGAGCAGAAGCCTCTGACATCATGGCCACGCTCCCGTGAGCGCAGTGTCGACAGCTTTCACTTCCCTGGCTTACACTGGTGTCCCTTGCTGAACTTCAGGCCAGCTCTAGAGAGCAGAAAGCCCATGCGGCCGTCACATGCGTCTGTCACGTAAGGTGTCCCAGTGCATGTGAAGAGGGTTTGGAAGTTCACTTTCGTAGTTTTTGTGTTGCCAATTGTTTGGTGTCGGATATTCCTTCAGCCAATGTGGATATTTGAGACCTTTACATGCGTTTATATACGTTTCCCCTGAGTCACAAACTTTCACTAACATTCATATATTCCCCCACATCTGCCTGTGAAAGAGAAGTTTCCAAAGAATTTGAATGCTTGAGTCTCTTGGTGTGAATGTCAAGGAAGAGAGTGAAAACTTCCAAGTAGTCTGAGTGGGAAATGCATTGTTCTTGAGAATTGATCAAGAGTGTATCTGCTGGTTTGGATTGAATTTTTTTTTTTGTTCCATCACATATTTGATCAATATTTTTGCACTAAAAAACTAATTTGAAATGACGGCGTTTCCATTTAACCTGTTGTGTGACTACAACCTACAACGTAATTGTTTCCTCTCGATAAGTCATTCCAAAAATCATGGCCAGTATTTTTAATCGAAGGGGACTTATGTTATCCAAGCATGTTATCCAGCATTAATGGCAAGGAAAGCCCAACTTTCCAGGCATTTCATACCTGCTTCAAGGTCTTGATAAATTGTGGCATTTCTTTGTTGTTTAAAATCCAGTATTCCCATAAAATCTTTTGTCTCTTTTGAGTTTAAAGATCATTTTCTGTCGCGTTTCAGAATGAACTTAAAATAGTTCATAGCCGACCCCAGGGGGTTAATAAAGACCTCTCCAAGTCTCGACTTCTGTCATCTTTAAAGAATGACCACTTTCACCTACACCAGTTGAAAACTGTTCTCATTGCAGTTTTGCCAATTTTTTCTCTTTCAAATTGCCTGAAAAACCACCTTGTGGGAACGCAAAAACTTTTTTGCGATATATGGGAGTTTTTGTTTCCAATTTGCGTGGTTTGAAGGTTTAAAAGGAACGCGGCTTGTCAAACTTGACAGTTGTGACATTGTTTGTTTAGACGTTTACATACAGTACATATGCGTATTCCCAGACATGTTAAAGTAGACTGGCTGTTTGCGGGTTCCCAAGGCAGATTTACGGTGAGAACCCAACGCATAACAAACAGGCAGGAGGGCTCGCGTGTGTGAAGCATACTAATGCGTCGTGAGCTCCAGTGTCCTGGGTCCAGGAGAGGGGGATGTAGCGCTCGATGCTGCCTATACCATTGCCGTTGTCGCTGTTGTAAAGTACAGTTAGGGGAATTCATTTCATAAAGCACACAACGCAGCACTGTAGCTGTTGAGGTAATGATCGAGTTTTAACTCTGCCATTATCGATAGTTGTTCACTGGCTGTGGAAACTGTGCAGACTTGTGGCCCTACTGGGCCAGTTGCTGAGTTCCCATGGTCAGGTACCTATCCGTGAGCCCTCCAAGCTCTGACTTCACCCGTTTAAACATTTGTGTTCACACCAAGGCCACACTCTCATATGAGGAGCATGTGTATGGCATTGAGCTGGCAAACGTTTGCGTTCCTGCCAAGGTTGTATGGCGTAGTTTAGGGTCTGCGCTGCTCTAGTTGAAGTTGCTCAAATACCAGTAACGTTAATCGGCAATTGCTCAGGCTTTGTAATATCGTTCCCCGAGGACATAAAAAATTAGGATTACTGTGTGGTAAGCAGAAACAATATATGTGCCTGGTCTATGAGGATTTGTAAGAGGGGGGGAAATGGGTCAACTGCCAAAGAGGCGATCATTAAGGCTTGAGTGTTCAAAGCCACTGCAGAGGAGAGACGTACTCTCAATGTGAGAAAAGAGCGAAGGCTTCGTATTCGTACTGCTTTTCACACGCCCACAGTCTCCCCGATCCAAGAGTTCTGCCATCCATCTACCTTTATTAGCCCTGCCTGACTTTACAGGCTCACATTGCAAAAGCACACATCAGAAATATGACTTATGAACGGGTTTTAAGAACAGTGCTCTGCTGCCAAAGTGGAGAGCAGGACCTTCTTGTGCGTGCGTGTGTGCGCTGTGATTTACGTACGTCACAGAGCTGCCCTCGGCTGGCCCATGAGCTCAGCAGAACTAAAGTTGCTTCTGAACCTGAATGCATTACTGGATGTGCTGGAGAACGCCAGACGCTGCAGAGAGGGAGGAACGGCTGGAACGAGAGAAACAGAAAGAACGAGAGTGATGGAGCTGTTGAAAATAAATTTAGGGCGTCGGAGGTGGCAGGAAGGGGACAGATTACAGCAAATAAAAAAAGCACAATAAGGCACAAAACACATGTTCTTTGGGGAAACCAAGTGTGCAAGTTATGTATCTTGTCGATGGCCCCATGTGCAAGGCCAGTTACATGTCTGGGTCAGACTCAAACTCAGACTCATGAGGTCCACTGCTCATTTGTAATGGGAAGCAGTTGCTATTAAAACTATGAGGCATATGTGCACTTTCTTAACGGTAGAGACAGCAGTTCCGTATAGAGATTAACAAACGTGTGCATGATACAAAATGGTTTCTCCAAGCCTGTGGCGAAGAAGGAACTGAGGAGGGGTGGACGATGGCACCAACAGTTTTCAGTTACGGCAGCTTTTTGGAGAAGCGATTGAAGTCGTCTCCTCCCTCCCGCCTGTGAGAAACATGCCTCTCATTTGCTCTCGATGTATATTCATGTGTGCCAATGCCACAATGCAAGGTCTGGCACAATTAACCCAACTCTTCTGCATGCCAATTGATAATCGCTTCATATTGGTGTCTAGACTTTTGATGCATTTGAAGCAGGCAGACTTATTATTTTTCTTCCTGGTTGTGTGTGCGCTGGGTGTGTATGAAGGGGGGGGGGGGGGGGGGGTAAAGTGAGCATTCTATTGAGGTCTTAGTTTGGCTAATCTCCACCATGTGACAGCGTCCAGGGCTTTGCTGCCATGGAATGCCACCGGCTCTTGTGTTGGGGACAAAAACAGACAGAGGCTTAATCTGCAGGGGTGGCAACACTTTGAGTACACCAGTGCACTTTATGTGGAGGAGGGGAGAGAGCGTTCTCAGGGTTTAACCCGTCGTTATCATCATGCTACCTTAGTCTCCATAACCTCAGCTGACAGACCCAGGCTTCAGCCTTTCTTGGAAAAACGTACCTGTGGAAAATGTTTTTTCCAAAACGCTAAATCTGTTGCGCCGTGCACGTTTCGTGACAGCAATGTGGCGCTAATGGTGTGTTTAGTGTTTTCCGGAACAGATGAACGTAAATATGGCAACGTTGGAGTTTGTACGTATCGCCGCAGTTCTGAGTTGAAATCTGTGGTGAGTGTGGTTAACAAAAGCAAATGTGACAAAAAAATGTAAACGCTTTTGTCATAACTCGTCTTTCACAGGATTCGTACCCGAACTCTCCGCATCACAAGTACTAATCTGAGCTACCGAACAAGCGTAGTACGACATGGATCTGGTTTCAACTTGAAATCCTGGTTGAAATCTTTTAGAAAGATATTTTTAGAAAAAAAAGTCGAACATTTTGACAAATTTTTCGAAAAGAGCTATTCATTTCAAAGTATGATTAGCATGTAGCTTGTAGAGCCACAGTACTTTCTCTTCTCAGAAAGTATCTTCATAACCCTGAGAAGAGAGAAAGAGAGAGAGTGAGAGAGAGAGGGTGTGGATATCTCTCAGCTCCACCCCTTCAGCCGTCTCTCTCTCTCTCTAGTGCTGTACTCCCTGGTCTTAATTAAAAAAAATAATTGTAATTTGCATCACAATGGACACCATTAGTGAGCTCTTTGCCATCAGGACTGCAGTGAAAATGAAACATCTCAGATGAGCTTCAGCGACGGGAGCCTCTTACATCATCTGGAGGAGCAAATCCACTGGAGAGGGCCTGAGTGCCGGCCAGTTTCTGACGGGCTCTCTCTCTCTCTCTCTCTCTCACACACACACCCCACCCCCAGCTCTCTTTATCCCCCCTCCTCGTCCTCTCCTCAGCTGTCTTGCTCTACAATGGCCTGAGCATC